GTCACATGACAACAGTACTAACAATTTATGTTTTAATGGGCCCAAGTGGCAGAGTAAATAAATCTGCCAAAGCTCTGACATTCCCTGAGCCTCTTCCACACAAACACTACCACAGTTTTCTGTAACATTAACAGCAGCTGTGTGAGATATTCACTCTGACAAACACATCACCCAAATGTCAGACTCTTACACCACCACAGATTATGTCTAATGCCAGTCACCGTCACCTTTTTCTGCACTTAGCTTCCACTAGTTTTTAACGTGCCTGGCTGAAGGTTTAGATCGGACACCTTAAATCAACATTAATTTTGAATATGCACCAATGTGGGGGATGCACTCAACAGTGAGTCCCATCCATGTTTTAGTGCCAGTTATGTGACATTTAAATGAAATAAAAGCCCTGTGTTGAAAGTTTAACTTTTTGTTTTCACTCCTTGAACCATCTCTATATGAGATGTTTTATGTTTATGTTCAAGATAATGGTGATTAACTATCAACTATAGTTGAGAGGAGGACGAGGGTCATATTTAGAAGTCTGCACACCCTGACGTTTTGTGCTCTGGATTTCAGGGAAACATCTGCTCCTGCCAGAAAATGAAAGTGAAAGTAGATGAAAACTAACACACTGGTCCTACAGCACAGCGGGTCATATGAGGACGGCTGCTGGTGGAAAATGGCAGGCAGCGTCGCAGCAACCATCCACAAAGCCGCTGCTTTGGTTTTAGCAGTTTTCGCTGACCTATCGTTGTTTTACGCTTCGGGACTTGCAGCGACTCACAGCGTCGTTGGGCATCTTGGGCGTCTCTGGGTTTCCGCGGCTCTGCGGGCCTTGGCACTAACTGCTGTAACTCTGTTCACCCTGGGAGACCTCAGACCGTGGTTGATCCGTTTCATAGCGGCGTACACTTTGCTGCCCGCGGTGTTTGAGACCGGGACCAAGGCGCTCTACCATGAGGAGAGTCAGTGTAGCCAAATGGCTGGTGTGCGCTGCTGGCTGATGTGCGCCGGAGCGTCGCTGGCTGCTGCGCTGTTTTGGGAGATCACCGTCCCGGACACGGACGAAGAGGCCGCTGGTAAAAAGAGCAAACAGAAGGCCAGAGTGCTGTTTGTCAGAGTGCTTCTCCTGTCTTTACATGACTATATCCTGCTGCTTGGAGGGCTTGTGTTTCTGTCGCTGGCTGTTCTCTGTGAGTATTAGTGAATAGTAAAGAAGGTGGTGGTGATGCTGAGGACATGGAGCAGACTGATGATGATAACGGTCATTTTTCAACTATGAGCACAATGGACAGCATTGTTGAAATGTTTTGTCATTTTGACTTTATATGGGAATAGAAACATTCTTGGAAAAGTTGATTCTCTGTTCATGAGATACAGGGCACTACATTCATGATGGAGCAGAGGGTGATGTTAATCAGATGTTTAGTTTCCTGGCTGATCTTCATCTCTCTATGTGTCCGATTACCTGTGTCCCTGTCTCCTCTCAGGTGAGATGTTCATCCCGTTCTACACCGGGAGAGTCATTGACATCCTGGGTGGTCAGTACCAGCAGAATGAGTTCCTGTCTGCGCTCCTCTTCATGAGCCTGTACTCTCTGGGAAGGTATGGGACAATGTTTTCCCTCCAGTCATCCACCATCATATATCTGTGGCTCACATGTGACATGTCACTGACTCTGTGTTTGATTCATTCCTTAGCTCTGTGAGTGCAGGCTGCAGAGGGGGTACCTTACTTTGTGCCATCAGTTCCTTCACCTGCAGAATGAAAGTCAAGCTGTTTGAGGCTTTGACCAAACAGGATATTGAATTCTTTGAGACCACAAAGACAGGTGAGTCTCTTAGACTAGAACCTGCGGTTAGGCTGTAATGATTTTTCAATGCACATGAAGGTCAAGAATGGACAATGTATATAAAGACAGGACATACTAGAACCTGCAGTTAGGCTGTAATAATTTTTCAATGCACATGAACGTCAAAAATGGACAATGTATATAAAGACAGGACAAGACATTTCAAGACAAAATGAGACAGACAGAAGAGGACAGGACAAGTTCAGACAAATGAAACAGGACAAAAGATCATTTCTGTTTGTTTTCTGTGTAGGTGACATCACATCCAGGTTGTCTAAAGACACCACCCTGATGGGAAGAACTGTGTGTCTGAATGTCAACGTGCTGCTGAGGACATTCATCAAGACGCTGGGCATGATCTCTTTGATGATGAATCTCTCCTGGAAGCTCACATTCCTCGTCTTGATGGAGACGCCCATCACCGGCCTCATTCAGAACCTCTATGACACACACTACCAGGTAAAAACAGGCTAATAAGTGATGCTCCGTTAGAGACCCATACATACTGTATATGATATGCCTAATGAAAGCCTGAAGTGTAAAATGATATTGTGTCTGGAATGTCAGTTGTATTATTTAAAAATGTTTAATCAGAAGATCGAATGCACAGGACTCTGTTTCACCCTGATCTGAGACGACTTATTCAATGTAATAAAATTTTATTCACCCATTCTCCTGTGTTTTGTAGAGGCTGTCTCTGGAGATGCAGGACTCAATGGCTGAGACAAACGAAGTGGCGAGTGAGGTAGTGTCTGGTATTCACGTGGTACGGAGCTTTAACACAGAAAAACAAGAGGCCTGTCGCTACGACAAGTGCTTGATGAAAATTCACAAACTCAAGACCCATCGGGACCTTGTCACAGCTGCTTATCTGCTTGCCCGGAGGGTGAGACGTTTTCACCTTTTGTAAAATTGTGTTTTATTCTGCCTTATTTAGCAGTGTTAATTCCTCAGTGTGTGTATGTGTGTGTGTCTGTAGTTGACAGGGTTGGGCATGCAGGTCATCATGTTGTACTACGGCAGGCTGTTCATCCAGAGGGGCCAGATGACCACTGGCAACCTGGTTTCCTTCATCCTCTACCAGTCAGACCTCGGAGACAACATCAGGGTATCCCATAATGCTCTGTGGATTGTAGTCAAGCAGTGACTTATATCTTAACAGTTTACCATTTAGGCAAGACAAATTGTATTTACACTCAGCTGACAATTTATTAGATACACCTTCATAAAACTAAAGGTCAGTGTGCTTTACATTATTCAAAGAAATAAACAAGAGACACATTTAAAAAAAGGAGTCGGTTAGTTATAAGTACACAAAAAAGAACACACGAGTAAAGTGTGTGTTCTTATATTCTTGTGTTTAAAAAACATGGACCAGACATGGCCATCGAACAGGCCAGGAGGGTCTGGCACCATGTAGTTCCTAGAGCGTCTCCTCTTTTTGGTTGATCAAAGGTCCACACGTTCAAAGCAGGAAGTCCATCACAACACGATATGAAGAGCTCAGTATTCAGGGTTTTATTAATGCCATTCAGATGCTCTAACTTCACCATGATCTTCAGGCAGAAAACAAGAACTGATTTGAGGTTGCTTTAAAGGAATTAGTTTGAGCAGTTTAACCAAACTTTGAACTGCAGCTCTGACTCTAGGCGCTCTATAAATGAAAACACATGTTATTAAGACATCACTTTACCAACCCTGACCTATGTCGACTTCCAGTCACTCACCTACATCTTCGGTGACATGCTGAACTCGGTGGGGGCTGCTGGGAAAGTGTTTGAGTACCTAGACCAAAAACCTAAGGTCAGCACAGACGGAAAACTGAAACCTGATCAGCTGACAGGACACGTCAGCTTCCACCGTCTCACCTTCGCCTATCCTACAAACCCCAACAAAGCAGTGCTGCAGGTGAGATGCTACAGAGACATGGGTGATTCTTTGATTTCAGTTCTGACACTTAATTTAAAACATATTAAAATAAATACATGAAAATATATAATAGAAGGTAACAACAAGCTTTCACAGTAAGTATTTACATTTACTTAAGAATAAGTTAAGACATTACAGAGACACCAAACTCAGTCTGATATATTGTTTAAGGACTTTTCTTTGGAGCTGAAGCCGGGTCAGATGACAGCCCTGGTGGGCCCATCTGGAGAAGGAAAAAGCACCTGTGTGAGTCTGCTGCAGCATTTCTATAAGCCGGAGGATGGAGAAATCCTATTGGACAACGAACCTCTGAAATCCTATGACCACCGTTTCCTCCACAAGAAGGTGATTAATCATTCGGGCTTTTTCTGGTGATACACAACATTGTTTGTTGGGAACTATTTTCTGTGTTTAAATAGTTTTATAATTCTAAATCACACATCATTGTTTTACAGTTTTATGGGAAGAAGCAGAAAGCACTAAGATTTCATTCAGCAGTGTCCACAAATTCCCATCTTTCTCTCCAAATCACTGTTAATTTGGAAAATCTGAGAGAAACTTTTGGCATGTTGAAGGTGCATAATAAAATTAAATAAAAAATCACTTTTAATTTCATAATTTTGAGGAAAAGGATAAAATTATGAAAAATACATCAGTTGTGACATTTAATAAATTATTATAGGAATTTAACTGTGCAGAACAGTTGAGTCTAATTTTTACTTCTATAACTTGTTAGTCATTGACTGAAGCTGATGAGAGTGGGTCTAACAGGTGGCGGTGGTGAGCCAGGACCCTGTGCTCTTCTCTGACTCCATCAGATACAACATCACCTACGGGTTGGCTGACTGCTCACAGGATGAGGTCCAGGAGGCGGCACGCAAAGCCAGCGCCCATGACTTCATCATGCAGCTGCAGAAAGGCTACGATACAGGTGAACTGGCTGAACGCCTGAATAAAGACCTGAATCTTAGAGAAAAGCTGTGTGAAGCAATTTGTTCAACATTAAAGACTAAATATACACAACCAACTCATGTCGAAGTCCTCATGTCCTTCTGCACTTGGGTAGTATTTAAATTAAATTATAATATTGTCTGTATCTCAGAGGTGGGTGAGAGAGGCGGCCAGTTATCCAAGAGTGAGAAGCAGCGCATTGCCATCGCTCGAGCTCTCATCAGACAGCCACAGGTCCTCATCCTGGATGAAATAACCAGCTCTCTGGATGCTGAAAGTGAAAATAAGGTACAGCATATCACAGTTCAATGTGTACTCCTTTAAACCTTCTGTAATAAGTCCTGCAGTAATTCTGCTGTTCTCAGTGCTCTGTTCTGAAGTGCAAAGCTGAGGAGGTCTGGTGAAATGATGTAACACTGTTTTACTTATTATTTATTACTGTACATATTAAAACATATGTATCTAAATGTTTCTTTCAACATCCTTTAGCTCTGCTTTCACCCAAAAGTAGAGCTAAGTAGTGGACATTGGATAATAAAATAATTGTTTCAGTGACTGTGCACAGATTCTGCAGGAGCTGGCTCGTTGTCCCACCCAGACCGTCCTGGTGGTCGCTCACAAGCTGACGACCGTTGAGAAGGCAGATCAGATTGTTGTGATTGGTGGTGGTAAGGTGGAGGAGCGAGGGACTCACCAGGAGCTGATGGACCTGAGGGGGAGCTACTACAAACTGAGAGAGAAGCTGTTCACAGCTGATGATGTAGCTTGATGAATACTGGGAGAGAACTGTGGTGAATGACTGTGTTGCATGTGTTTGCCTGCAGGATCAGCAGCAGCTGAGCTGATAAGCTTTGTGGTAGTGAGCTGAAGTTTCTGTAAATATTAAAATCAGAGTTTGTATAGATAGTGAAAATCAAGCTGTATAGACTTTTATGATTCTACTTATATTTATTTTGCAGACGGTTTGGATTAGATGTTTAATCACATTTTTGAGTGAAGGTTTTCTAATAGATATATTCTCTGTGTAAGTTTCCATGTCATGTCCTTGTATTTGATAAAGATAAATAAAAGTCTAACACAACAACACACACAGGCGACACCATTTATTATCAGTGGTCAAAGGTTGGTTCATGGGTAAGTCCTGAATAAAAGACTGATCAGCAGTGTCAGACATTTTGGATCATGAGCAATGATCCAATTTGTTTCCTGCCAGAATGTCAGTAAAACAGATTGGTTTTGTTTGGGCTGTAGTTTCCAGTCTTTTCACCAAAAACATTGCCAGGACGCTGACATAAATGAAAACCAGAGCAAACATGGAGGACAAAGGCTTCATCCAGTGTGATCAGATTTGTTCCACATAGTAAAAATGTAAATTGTATGGATGCAGTGATAATAAAGATTACTCCAAAATAAAAGTGCAGACCAGTACTGTGGGCTGAAAAGTAGAGTAACACTACTTGAATGAAAAACATGGCTAAAATTAAACGTGTACTGAGCTTAGTGATTATGAATTAGTTGTACTGGGTAGTCGTCTGAAGCATTTGTGTTTTTCTAACCACATGTCAGTGTGTGGTGTGTCTAGTTCTGGTTCTAAGCCACCTCACTGCATTTTGATATAGTGCATTAAAACATATTATGGTTGGGGTTGGGTTTTATTGTTCGAGCTTCCTGGAAAGTCCCTGAATACCAACACTGTTTTTTTTTTCTGGCTGTGAGGTATTTTGGAAGATTGCCTGGTGACATGTCAGAAACACCAAAGCCGCAGTGAAATGCTCCACAGCATTATGTCAAAACACAAACTCCCTCTATCGACAAAGATCAGGCAACAATCGCCACCATTTTATCAGAACTTGTGCATCGACAAAATGGAGGCTGAAGTCACGTGCGGGTTAGACTTTCATTTCACCTGGATGTTAATGGCTGCAGGATTTATAAAATGTAATGAATCTTGAAAAGGTTTTATGAACATACAGTATATGTTCCTTTTTTGTCTCTTTCTTAAATTGTCACTCCTCTTCATAACTGTATTGGAGCTGTTAAATATGGGGATGAGCTCTTAAACATGTAGCTGCTAAACTGGAACACTGCAATTAATACGTTGGCGTTAGAATATGACACTAAAATACTTGGACATGTTCTTTTTCAATACAATTAAAACATCAAGTTTAGGAAGTTTGTCTCTACAAAACCTTTGCATCTTTCTGTATATATAAATATCTTCTAAGGTTAGATTAACTTATTTTAATGCTTTAACATTAACTGGAGGGTTACATGCTCCTCTGTGGGTAAAAACTGGTCTTCTGTTTACTGTTGATGCTCAGTAAAACCTTTTTAAATTCCTCTGGATGAACTAATAAGCTGAAAACAAAACTGTCTCTCATTCTTCTTAAAATCCTGGCAGTTTGGAGATACAAGGTTCACATCAGACACCATGACCCATCAGTAAACTTAGCTGCTTCCCATTATCAATCATGTGCAGGTTACGCAGGCAGCAATGCACCAAGTGGATATACAAAGCTGCCGCCATCTTAGGGCAACATTTGTAAACATTGAAACACAAAATGTCTGAGAGCGTGAACAGAAAGTTGGACAGTGTGAGCGTTAAGGATAAATTAAAGATGATATAGTGACTCTGTGGCTGTAGCTATGATGTAACAGGAAACAGTTGTGCAGCCTCAGACCTTAGTGTGCACCTGTTTATATGCTATATATTTGTTTGTGTCTTTGGTGGATGTGTGCATGTACCTAGAACTTTCTGCATTACCAGTTCTGCACCATACCACTGCGCCACACAGCCGAGCTGGAAAGTCCCCGCCCGTGTCTTTCACTTTCTCTCTTTGCTGTATTGTGCATTCAGTGGCTGCCTGACTCAACCAAACCACAGCCAAGCCCAAGCTCTTGTGACCAAAAGAATTCTGGTTTGACAGTATTCTACCTGTCAGGCGTGCCACTTGTGTTGACTTATTTCAGCAGTTGTCACGGTGATACACAGCCTGCCATTTGCCTAAAATGAGACTGTTTACATGTTTCTCTGTAAGTTCTACATTAACATTTGACAAATGCAGCTGTTGCTTTTGGTTTTGGTTTGATAGCCTTTAGCAAGGACATGGGCAAGACAAAAGGCTGGTGATGGAGTTGAACTGACTTTTGCAATAATCAGACATCTGCCCTTTCATTTACAACATATCCTTCCACTCCACCAGGGCTTGGAAAATGTTTCAAATCAGGTCTGATCTATGCCAAAAGGACAGATAAACACAGACACCTCTTTATTAGGTCATGTTCAATAGAATCAAAGTAACAGCTTTATTGTATCTTTTATATTGTATTTGTCGCTGAAACACTGTAATTGTTTGAAAAATTATTACTGACAATACTCTGCTTTTCACAGAAAGCAAAACATTGTGGAGAGAGTCACTTGACACTTCACTGTAACATAAGCTTTGTTTCTCTTCCCATTTCTAAATCAAAAGTAATAAAAGAAATGATGCAGCATAAAGCACAACAAAACAGACACTGATGTAACTTCTTTTGCACATCTCATCTCATTTTGTTTAATAAAGTTTGAACACTAGAGAGGAAACACATGCTCCACAGTCTGAAAAAACTCGATCCTGTGATCTTTGATGTTTGATAATAAAGTGGTTCCAATAAGTTTTATTTTGGATAATAGCAACCACATACAGTATCTCCACTGTGCAGTCATGTGCCAGGCAGAGTGTTTGTGTTGTTTTATGGCAGGTAAACCCCCACTGTCCTCTGTGAATCCCCTAAGTTCCCCTGAGGAGTATGATGATTGCGACATGTCTGGCAGCAAAAGTTTGTGACATTACTGAGGCATCAAGCTGATAATGTGTGATTTCCTAAGTGAGTGGTGATGAAAAACATTCAGACACATCACATGGTCAGCTGAGGAAAGTCCTAACTCATAAAAACTGAACCTTCATCAGCTGAAAACTGTTGAGGCAGTGCAACAGCGCCCCGTTGGGTGTATGCTGCACTTTTACCAACAACCATGTGATTTCCTGGAAGCTGTCAGCCTGGCAGTTTGGTGAAAGTTAGGGGATTATCAGACCAGCAAATGGTGAGATCACTGCTCCAGACTGACATCTAGTGAGATCTAATGAAACTGCTGAAAATTACAAACCGCAGTGGGCGGTTGTCAGCAGTCTTGTTATGTAGCAGCATTTTCAGTTCTTTGAACACCAGAGGTTTGTGTTCTGGGAGCTCTTCTGTTGTGTGCGGAGTCTCAGGAAACCATAGCCATGTAAGTGCAGAGAAGCTAATGTAACATGAAACCACAGGGCCACATGAGGGCAAACCAAAACCCCCAACAGGAAATGATATATTGACAGAGACCTATACATCACAACACATATAGAAGCAGTGTTTTGACTTGTTTTGGTTGCATGCGTCACAAGATATTCTGAAGTATTTCTGTATGTTTTAGCTAAAGGTTTAAAATACAGAGACTTCATTGTCGTGTTTGTGGACTCTTCTACACAGCCTGGCAGGGGGAGGGGAATGAAACTTAGATTTCTGCTACAGAGCAATGGTGTTTGTCATGGTCTTATAAATAGACAAGTGAACAGTGATTCAGAGGTTAAGATTAAACCATGACAGTCAGATATGGGATGTTACGAGTCTCTGACAGTCTGGCGGGAAGGTGACATCATTTAAACCAGAGCTGTGATGAAGAGCTTATGAAGATCATCAGCACCCCACAGTGCTCATCTCAGGCATCTTCACCATGAAACCAGTAAACCATGTGATTTCCCAAAAACTCCTCAGTCTGGTGACCAGGGACTGTGAGCCGCTGCCTCAAGTCTTGGCAAAAGAAATGAGTGATAGAGCTCGAGTGCCCCCAAGTGGGATAAAATAAGAAATGAATTAAATACACTGAATGTCCAACATGTTCTGACAGAGCTACTATTACAAACCCATTTTTTGCAAAGCTAACTTCAAGTTCAGTCCACTTCTACTTCGGGTTTTAGCCAAGGTACCAAAGAACCCACAGACATCAAATACTGTGTGGGACGGCTGTGGCTCAGGGCGGAGCAGGTTGACTGGCAGGTCACATCCTGCTGTCAGTGCACATGTGTGAATGGAAGAATGAGAAGCAAACTGTAAAACACTTTGGATAAAATGCAGTCCATATTCAGAAATATGTTTAAAATGACATTTCAAATGTCAAAAATATATCAATCACATGGCATTTAACATAATCAATAATGTGTTCATCTTAAGTTTTGGAGCGAGCAGTGACAAAATACTGTATCAGCGTTATTGTCAAAAATGTTTTAAAACTGAATCAGGGGTTAAAAGTCATCATCACACAGTTTTCTCTCCTTTTTACTTGAGTAGCTTTAAGGTTATTCAAACCATCCTATTCCACCCTGTTTGACAGTATCACGATCATCACACAGTTTTCTCTCCTTCTTACTTGAGTAGCTTTAAGGTTATTAAAACCACCCTATTCCACCCTGTTTGACAGTATCACTTATGTTTCCTTATGAGCTTGTTTGTTACACTAAAATGTTCAACCCTGAGACTTTTGGCATCAATACTGCAACAAATGTAAATATTCCAGTTGCCTTCTTCAGCATTTAATAGAAATTTTCAGAAATTTCAGTTTGACACGTTGACTTGTAGAGTTCTCTGAAAACCTTGGGTCTAGCTTACAATAAAAAAATGTGGTTTTGAAGAGAAACTGGCTGCTCAGAATGTGTTTGTAATGACTGGTTTCAGAGTAAAAGCTTAAGGAAAGCTGATGTGTTTTCTGCCAGTGTGGAACTCATGACTTCTTATGTAAGTATGTAGCTCTTTGTGGACTTTAGGTGCAACTTACATGACACACAGTGTGCACAATGAAAGTAGTGCAGTCTGTCTCCACATGTAAAGGACAAGTCTTAGTGAATGTGTTGGAAAACAAAGCAGTGCAGTTACATGACCTCTAAAGAACACCTTCAGAAAACTGCACAAAACCTTTTCTTTCTTTTTCAAGGCATGAAAGTAAAGTGTGGTTTACAAAAATGAAGAAAAATGATGAAATAACACCATACTTGTGTACTTTATATACACTTATACAATACTGTAATAAGGTGCTGGTTTCTTCACAGAACCGATGAGACCAGAATTAATGTACTAAGGTGTCTTCAGACTATGGATTGCAGGCGACTAGTCCTTCAATTGTTTTGGATTATGAGGCTCCACAGTAACACACTGATCCAGACCTAATAAGCTTTTACATTACCTGCATGCAACATTTTTAATCCTCCCAATAACTTTACATGTAACTGTACAAAAACTCCACATGAGAATTCAGCTTCTTAGCAA